TGTAATGTACGTACATGTACATGTACCCTATTAGGGTACAGCAGGCATGCATTGGTGCAAAAGGCCTATGACAGACATGTCAATATGCACTTAGAAAGTATGTACATCGTACATGTACCCCTCCCAGAATTAACAAGGATTAGTAAATGATACTAAACAGATATACTTTGAGAACAAGGGTTACTACTACACTTTTGGAAGGATTTCAAGCCAGGATTATGAATTACACCAAAAAAGTCACTCAAGCTACACGTACATTTACAAAGCAGGTATGTTAACTGCGTTATCTATCTGCAAATACTAGGTGAAGAGCAATGAAACACACACCCATAAAAACAAATGCCATTCAATGCATACTGCACTGCTCTGAACTTGTGTGTGCCGGACTGAGTTTGAAGAATGCTGTGTGACTGATGTCATTTACACATGCAGAGAAATTGTGGAATTCTCCAGCTCTATTCAAGGGACAGTGTTTCCATGTACTAGTACCGGTACACTGTACACCAGATTTTCATGTACATGTACACGTCCGTGTACATGTGCATTCATTTATACTCAAGCAAGGAACACACATGTACACCCAAATGTACGTAAACACATTATACAACATGTCAATGTACCAGTGAGTATGAAGTTTGTACATACATGTATACATGTGCATGTAGATGAAATTTTACATGTAAATGTGCATTGCTCGGATTTGCATGCATGTCCATTTGCAGTGTACTAATGCACTTGAGTAGTGATGTATGCAAATACTCATCTCATGTACTTCATGTAAAGGTACGTGTACATGTATTTGTTTTGTAATTGATGGCTAAGTACAGCCTGCAGGTAACGTGTGCACCTGTTGGTGCGAGTACATGGAAAGTGTGCCCTTGTACTCAAGAAGAGACACACACATACCCGTGTAACAGTCTCATTTTTCTGGCATGCTCAGATTTTCAGAACAACACGCCGGATAAATGAGCAGGTTGCCGCAACAATCTCATTTATCCGGTGTGCTGATTTTTCCAGTCACGTACACAGGCCATACGCTTTGGTCCCTCATTTGGCGCAGTCGCTTAGTACGAGGAAATATTATGCAGAAAAGACTGGAAGATCGGGGAATGACTTTGACTTTGCCACTACCATTATTGAATATTCAGCAAGATAGTACTGTAACTTCGCCCCTTGCCAGACCTTTACAAACGAGTGTTTACTTTGGTGATTATTAATTTGTTAGAATTGAGTGTCACCAATGCTGGGGAGTGGGGGCGGGCCTTTATTGAATGTCTGTTCCTAATGTACATGTACACCCGCCTTTATGTATGAGGATAGGACTTTCACTTTTAAAAGGCAATAAAGGAAAAAAGGGCAACAAACCCGTACAGGTGTACACATCATCAATAACATGCCCTGAAGAAACAATGGATAGCGCCTAAAATGCCTTGAGTGATCTTAATTCGAACGCGCACAAAGCCCATGTAGTTGAGGTTGGTAAGTACGTGCAATGATCACCTGATGTAGGAACTCAGCACACCCTTAAAGTGAACAAAATGGGACTTACTGCACATGCCTTCAGCCTCAGGTGCTAGTTCGGGTCGCTCGGCAGTGTTCGGTTAGTGCTCGGAAAACTGAGCTCGTGCGCAGTATGTATGACAATTGATCTAACAAAGTTACATACATTTAGACTAATACCGACAGACTTCTACTCCAAAGCTTTCAAGTACACACGTGTACATGTACTGGTCCACTTTGCCACTATTGCTCTGTGGCAAGAAGTAGACAATGAAATGTGTTCACAATACATGTTATAATATACATCAGCCCACTGGGGGGACCTGTCCCCTCCTGCCCCCCTTCCCACTTTTTGCAAGTCCTAAAATTAGATGGGGCTCACTGAATCAAGCTATTAATGGCTGATGCCTGATGGTCTAACAACTGGCCCCTCCACTTTGAAAATCATTTCACTGCTGGGGGTGCATCAGCCAAATCCGGACTGAGTGATCTACATGCATGTACATGTATTTCTCATTTCAAGCTAATTTGCTGGACTATTTACCAAATAGCTCTATCACCATCAATGGTTAGGGCGGTATTCTTTTATCTTATGACCCTTAGACCCAAGATACATCCACCTGACTCAGGCCCTAACCACTCTCCCATCAAAAGCAATGCACAGTACACACAGATATTTGCACAGGCCAACCAGTCCGCCAGCCATTATTTTCCATTCCCATTATTTTCCATTCCCAGACAAGTGGGCATCTGGAGTGCTTTGTAAAACACCTACAAAAAATGTGTCACTCACCAGGAATGTATCCTTGGGGGATAAATTGGTCTGCAGCATACAGACAGGAACCACAAGGTCAACTGCACAGTCTTAAGTCGTTTCCTTGTTCTCTTTTTCAACCAAGTACTACTTAAACAGTGATTCATACTTTGATAGGATTGGTTGTAAACAAATACCTTAGCAGTTAGTGCATGCTTTGTGAAGTTCATATCCATGTACAGGCTCTGTATACCAGTAAGACTGAACTTCTGGATGACCAGAAGAAAATGATTGAAACATCTGTAAAAACTAAAGTGCTCTAAGGTTGTGGCTTCAAGTAGTTATTCTTGCACATGTACATGTACATATTGGCAAGAATAGGAAAAACTAGGAAAGTGAACATTTTTTGGTGTTTGTTGCAAAATGTGACTGATTACTGTTTCTTTTAAGTTACTTATAGCGCTAACAGTCCCAAATCCTCCAATTTCAATATGAGTTTACATATATCCCAACGGGTTTAGGGTTGATAAAATACAAAGAATCTACATTGTTTGTGTTAGATAAATACATGTAGAAAGGTGAATTGCAAATTTACCTATATATAAACACCAAATGTCAAGCACAAAATACATTAAAAAAT